AAAAAAGTTAATAGTTCAGTTTACATATTCAGAACAAAATTAATATAACATCAAATTTAATAACAAAATTAACCAACCTTTTTTAGAGTGTAACTAAAACGCACTCCCTCAAATAAGTACATTGTCATGAGCAGGTACAAACCACATTCATTACTATCTCTCTTGATTTTCCATTCAAACTCCACATCTTCAAATTCATACCTTCTCAGTTCATTTGCCCTTGGGTGGTTCTTCTTTGTCAGATAAACTGACATCTCTGTACATTGTATTAAAATATAAATTAATATTTTTTCTGTTATTACTAGAAATAGATGCACAACTAATCACTATTAATAAGAAAGTCTAAACTTTTACCAGTAAATCAGCACCTTTTTTATGCCACTTCAAGTGTGCCTGTATTTTATAGTCCACCAAATGTATCTTCTTTGACAGTGTGTTTATAAAAAAAGATGCATAGTGTTTCTTGTAGAGGAATGGAATCACTGTCTGCAAATAGATGTATAAAAATATATTTTACTAGGTTTTATTTGATCTTCATTTACAGATATTTTCAAAAATTAATACTTACAAAATCTGTTTTGGCAATGTCCCATCTTTGATTATTCAAAGAAATCCAATAATCTAATTCTCTGTGAAGAGCATTTCTCATATCAATATCAAACCCTTCGTCCATAAACCATGTCAATATGTTCTTCACATTCACATAAAAAACTAATTAGTTATTTGCCCTATAATCAAAAAATATAAAATTAAATATTTTTACTTACTATTTGTGACGGGCAAAAATAGAACCGCTTCCCATATTCCTGTTCTATTTTTAACTCCTCTTCATTGAGATAATATGCCCAACAATTGACAATTGCAGAAGGAATAAACTTTGCAGAAGCTAAGAGGAGCATATCTTCCCTTGTCACAAAAAGATTCTCATTGAATCTCACTATCAACTCTCTATAAAAACAATGTGAAAAAAATTTAAACTTATTTCAAAAAATATTGTGACTACTATAAAAAAATTGAAAGTGTCTACTTATTATAATAATCAGTTTATAATTTAAAATAACGTAAGGTTATGGATTCTTACTCTTTGTCCACTGAACTCTCATAAAAGCAGTAATCGAGAAAATGCTTGTCGTACAGTTTTGTATCTTTGAAAAGATGAGATCTTGTGTCTTCCATGAACTTTGACAGGAATGTCATTCATTCTTCATATGCTACTTTCTCCCTGTGCGTATCTTGCACTTTTATTTCCACATTCCCCATTTCTATGTTTTCATCTTCTCTTGCTTCATGATTTTCCAATTCATTGGCTTTTGCAGTGTTGTCTTCCTGTGTGCTTGCCTTCAAATCCATAAGCCAATCAACAACAGCATCTACAATTTCAAAAGTTTTTGGATCATTGAAAATTTTATCAAAACTGTTTGTTGATTGGGAGCTTTTTTGCTGGCTGCATTGTTCTTGGGAGTCCATATCTTGTATTGGAGACATATGAGCCCTGAACACTACTTCAACATCCCTCTTTACAAGCATAATTTATTTTTTTCCTAAAGCAATATAAGGACAAAAGGTTAGATTAATAACTAATATTTATATTTAGTTATTAATAACATATCACTTATTAGTTATTATAATGTACATTTACAACACATGATAACTTTTAAATAAAATTTACTCACATCTTTTGCTTTTCTCTGGATTTCACTATCTGTTGACATGCCCTCTGGTATTTCATATGTAATGAACCTCTCTCTGTTTACAAGTTCTCCACCTTCTCTCCTTACTCTTTCATCTTCTTTTTCTAAAAGCCTTTCTCTTTCTCTTGAGATTGGATAGCCATTATCTACTGGTTCTTTCCCAAATTCTCTTGAGTTTGTAGTTACAGAAGGTGATGTACATGATGTGTTTCTACTACCATGGGTTGTTGGTAGTGATGTGGTGGAAACAGAGTGGGTAAGGAACACAAAGAAGGAAATAGAAAAAACAAAGGGCATGTCCCACCCCCATGGGTTTAATACCATGGTTTTTTTTAACCCCCCCCCCCCCCCCGCTACTGTGCGGGATCGGAACCGGTGGGGGTGGCGGGTCCGGGCTCGGGTGTTGGTTTTCGTGGCCCGGCCCGGCCGGGTCGGGCCCGGGCCTAACGGTCAATTTTTTTTAAAAAAAAATGTTTTTTTCCTTTTAATTTAAAAAACACTTTTTGACTCAACAACCACTTCCCAAATGGCTATATAGCCGTTGGGTGGGTACCAGGGGGGTCCGGGGCCTTTGGGGGGTGGGGTGGGGTGGGGGTGGGGGGGGGTTAAAAAAAAATCTATAAATACTCCTAATTTTAAACATTTTTTCACACCTCTTCTCCAACTCTCCCTAAATCCTACTCTCTACTCATCTCCAATTCTCCATATTCATCTTCTCAAATTCTCTTATTCTCCATTATATTTTATTTTACTATTTAATACTTATACAATTATTATATCTACTTATATATTAATTATCTACTTATAAATACATATACTATATTAGTTATATTTCTTATCTACTTAATCTCTACTTATATCTCTTAATACATACATACACACTACATCTACTTAATATATATTTTATATAATAAAGTATTAAATATACTTTATAAACTATTACTATATACTTAATACATAATAATATCTACTTCTCTACTTATATTTCATATATACTTATTTTCTTATTCTCCAATCTCCAATTCTCCATTATACTCTAATATTTAATTCTTATACAATTATTATATCCACTTAATACATACATTCTACATCTACTTAATATATAGTTTATATATTAAAGTATAAAATATAAGTGTATTACTCATCTTATAGTAGTATACTTATATATTATATACTATAAACATTATATTATACGGAGTATATCAGTTACTATAACTAGTTCTTGAGATGAAGAACTAGTTACTATAACTGTGGAACAAGAATTTAGTTCGGCCGGCAACGTCCTAACGGCATCTAGATCGAGATTGAGTGCGGAGTCTCTTGAGACGCTTATATGCTACCACGATTGGTTGAAGGCCGCACGTAGAACTCAAGAAATGAGCATCAGCTCCTCCCAAGATTTTATGGATGACTCAACAACCGATGGTGGCTCTACATATGCCGGAGATTCCGATTGATTAGTATTTTAGAATTTATTATAAAATGTATTTTGTAGCACTTGTCAAATTAATTTATACTTGTACTTCATATTTCAAAATTGTAAACTTGTACTTCATATTTCAAAATTGTAAATTTGTAGTTGTACTTCAAATTAATTTGTAAACTTGTACTTCATATTTCAAATAAATATGCGTTCATTTTTTCATATGTAGCACTTCTCAAATTAATTAATTGGTTACAAACTTACGACTTAAAATTATTTTTCTAAAATCTAAAGCCGGTTTTTAAATTAAAAATACATTTACAATATGTAATTTGTTTAAATACTTATACACCTATTTTGTAACATTTGTGAATTATAAATCAAACCACTTTTCTCAGTACAAATAGCTTTACTTAATTCATTAAATTAATTAACTTATTTTACAATATGTATAACTTTAAAAAAAAATGATTTTTTTTTTCAAACAAAACCTCCCAAACGGCTATATAGCCGTTGGGGCTTTGGGTGGGGGACCGGGGGGGTCCCGGGGGTGGTGGTGTGGGGAGTGGGGTTCAAAAACATCTATAAATACATCTATTTTCTAACATTTTTCTACACCTCTTCTCCAACTCTTCTCCATCTTCATCTTCTCTTATTATCCTACATTCCTACTTATACATATACCATTTTAAAGATGGAAAGTACATCTTCCCTTATGCAAAATAATTTTGATAAGTGGAAGGACCCGAAGACCAGACTGTGGTGGACAACTTGCAAGTGGTGCAAGAAAGAGTGTTGCTTGGGGCGTTCACACGGATACGGGATGCCAATAAAACATATGAAGTCCTGTGACAAAGGGAAAACAACAACCAACGTCGGCGGAAATCTCAATTGATATTTTTTAGAAAATGTATTTCGTATTGTTAATTTTTTCTCAATTCTCAAATGTAGTTCCTATTTCAAATAAATGCACTTGAACTTTGTTTTTAATAGGAATTTGTATAATATATAATTATTTAAAAAAAATATATTTTGAACCGGCCCGGCCCGGTGGGTGGCCCGACCCGGCGGGTGGCCCGACTCGTGACCCGGCCGGGTGGCCCGGCCCGAACCGGAACCGGCCATAGCCCGGGCCGGTTCCAGGCCAACCAATACCAGACCCGAGGCCCGACCGGGCCTTGGCCCGGCCCGGGTCCTTCACTAGAGTTAATCATAATTAGGGGTGGACCGGTTCCGGTTCGGGCCCGGTTCGGGCCTGGGCCCGGCCGGGCCTCGGTTCAGAAAAAGGAGGCCCGAGCCCGAACCGGTGGTGGGCGGTTCCGGTTCCGGTTCCGGGCCAGAACCGGGCCGGGCCGGGCCGGGCCACCCGGAATGTTTTTTTTTTTTCTTCTTCTCTTATTTAACCCCCTACCCCTCCCCCTCCACCCCAAACCACCCCAAACCACCTCAAATGGCCCAAAATACCTAATCCAACCCAAAACTTAAAAAAATTTCAAAAAAAAAAAAAAAATAAATTCCGGCCCGAACCGGGCCCGGCCGGGCCGGTTCACTAAACTGGAGGCCCGGGCCCGGACCGGTATACCACCGGGCCTGGAGGCCCGAACCGGAACCGAACCGGTTGACCGGGCCGGTCCGGGCCCGCACAGTAGCGGGCCGGTCCGGTTCCGGGCCGGTTGGCCCGGCCCGAGTCCATCCCTAATCATAATGAGTCAGTCCAATATTTTGTTGTTTCAAGATAATATCATGAATCAATTCATGTTAACCGACCCCAAACTCTTTTGAGTTAAGGCTTCGATATTGTTGCTGAAGTTTGAATCACTCCGTGACTCCGTATTTCCCAACAAAAAACTCAATATTGTAAATTTAAGTATAACAACTGCAATTTAATTAAACACTACTCTCATATTTACATTACTATCAATTATTACAATCCACATAATTACATTTTTCCACCTCAAAAACCAAATTCAAGTATGAAAAAAGTTGGGTATACAAAATCCAAGAACAAAAAAAATCGACAACGTCAATAGTAGAATAGACAACTGTGAGATGTTGGCGAACATGTTTAATAAATAAACATGCAAAATGCCTGTTCAAGCTCAACACATTACACTTAAGTAGGTACATCAATGGTTCAAAGATCAGTTGACTTGATTGCATGAACTCCTTGGTGGTAAAATACTGATAGCTGGTTATTAGCTTCTTAAGCAAGTCTAGCAAATCAAAAAACAATCATTAGCAGTTATAAATTGGAAGACGCATTAATTCTGCGCGGGGGTGGTTCTTGTAGGAGAGTTTCCATTCGGTAATAGAGCATGCACTATGCAGGAACTAGTATGACTTTTGAAGTGTTCCAAGCGACATATATATCATGAAACCACTACCGACAGGCCAGGTCATTGAGATGAAGTCCATGCATGCTTTCATGGTTCATTCTGTCAATTGATCCTAAAATGATATCAAACTTTCTTTCATTTGTGGGAAGAGTAAATACAAATTCCTCTTCTTACCCACATGAAGCGTAGAGTTTGAGGTTCTAACTGAAATGTGTTTGTTTCTGGTCGGAACCAATGTCCTAGTACACTCTTGAAAGTTGCCTGTGATGTTGGAATCTATTAGCACACAATACCTCACACTTTGCGACTGTGTGTGCTTGTTTTGCTTTAGAACTCTGCACCCAAAAATATTAAATCATTGTCACATAAATCTTGCCAAGGCCTTCTCAAAGTACAGTCACACTATAAGCAGGCAAAGGGTGCTGACAATACGATACCGTTTGGTCCCAGAAAATGTTTTCCCAAGTTTCCATGTGTTGAAAGTGTTTCCACAAGTCCTTTAACTTGGTGGATAACGACTGTTTTCTTCCTCGGAAAAAGAGGTGCAAAAAAACCTTTTCATGATTGTTTCTCTCTTGGTAAATATTGGCCTTTATTGACCATGATGCTTAAATACAAATTGAAAAAACATCACTAAGAATTAATATATAATTTAATAATTTGAGTAATATACTTACAAAAAAATAAAATAAAAAATATTTCACCGAAGTACTGCACCTATTTTGTATTTTCAACACAAATATTTTCTTATAGTGGTATATGTTTCAATATGGAAAATAATTAAACTATTAACGCAACTTTGGATTTCACAAGTTGCAATTTTAAAATATATACATTGCAACTTAAAAATAAATACGCTTTTTATTGTAACTATTTCTTACTTTTAAACTCGATAAACTAATCAATTTTTTTTGTAACTAAGGATGACTAAACATAATAATTTAAATCTGGGTTTTTTACAAGAATATTATTAAAATAAACATATATTGCAATATTATGTACTCCTTCCATAAAATTTAAATGCACATTTTTATCAACACATGTTCCATATTGAAACATATATTGCAATATTATGTACTCCTTCCATCCCATAAAATAGTTTCCGCATTAACTTGGATCGGAGTTTAAGAAAGTGGGAATAAAGTGGAAATGTATGGTTGTGGTTGTGTAAGAAAAATGTAAATGAATGTGAGCCACACAAAACTTTCCAAAAGGGGAAATGGGAACTATTTTTTGGGACGACCCAAAAAAGAAACCGGAAACTATTTTGCGGGACGGAGGGAGTATATATTAATAATAAAAAGAAAAATTTAGAGAAAATTTAGGATATTTTTATAACAAATATAAAATACATGTCTAACAATATAAAATTAAATATTTTGTTATTTTCATACTCAATTAAACTAATACAAAGTAATTTGTATTTTACAAGTATTTATTTAGCCTTTTAAGACTTCAAACCAATAAAGGCCAATATGCACCTTGAGTGGAACAATACTACAATAGGGATATATTTGTACCTAAAACCCCGTTAAAGGCCAATCTCCATGTGTGCTTAAACATTATGTGCTTGTTTACACCTTTTTTCCTTTTATTAAAGTGCAATAACATTATTTTATCAGATATTATTGGCACGAAACCAAATAACACATTCTCAAATGTCACCCATTCCATGCGTGATGAAAACTTAGTAATATGGATTAATGTGTGTTACATAAGGCTGCTGCTTAATGATGTCAGATTTATTCTCCACAGAATAACATTTTTCTTATACGAGTAAATAGAAACATTGATTTTATTGCAAATTAGTACGAGAAATTATCAAAAGCAGGTTGATGTAAAATTAGTGATTAGTATTAAGACTGATACTTCAAATCATTTAGGTTATACATCCATAGTTTTCATCTTCCAACTTTGAAGTCCTTGATGGATGGTTAATACACGTTATCTTGAAACCCTAAATTGATAAAACTCCTAACAGAAGTTAATCAACAACTTTTTGCCCCAGCAACTTATTTTTCTGACACCAAATGGACGTAATTTGGCAGCCAACAAGAAGACTTGCTAAACCTTTTCTTATGGCTCTAGTAAACCAAGTTGATGCAGAGCATGAATGTGAGTAGAAAATAACACAAACCTGCATAGGGTGGAGAGAAGATGATGCAACTGTCATTCTCCTCCACCAGCCTTCCACTTCTTGATGGGGAAGAGATTCACCTTTTTCTGAGGCAGACTCCTAGCCGCCTCTGCAGATAGTACTGGTATGGGAGGGCGACTCTTATTGCACTCTTTATCAGCATCTGTAAAGGGCTTCAACTCAAAGGTGCCCCTTGTGAAACCTCTAGCTACCTGGGGGAACAATTTACTAGAGATTATTGACTTGTTAATCAGTTATTAGTCATAAAAACAATTGATAAGGTACATATCTATATGTGAAGTCCATCATAGCCAATTATACATTAACCAAGCTCACAACTCAAAAAATAAACTTGAAAAGAACGAATCAGCAATGGATTTTTTACTCATTTTTTAAAATGTTAACAAAGGAGTTAAGGACAAAACCTGATGCTGAACTATTTCTTAAGGTGGTTATTTTACGTAAACTACTTCAACTAAAACCAGGGCATATTGGCAAAATTTTATGTTTGGGCTTGATTTGTCAAAACATTAAAAGTTTGAACATTTTTCAATACAACTTGTTAAGATATGAGGTTCCATCCTAAAAGACTAATCTAATAGTAGTAGTGCAGGATATGAAACCTAACAATAATGTAATAAGTGATGGAAATCGTGACTATACTCATAAGATGATAGAAATTTTTTATTTTGAAATTCTAAGTTTATTAGATTGATGGCATAACTCATATTGTACACATTAACATGGGGAAAAATAATATTGCACCTAACTAATTATCACCGAACCAAGAACATATCTTCTTACATATAAATAAATGTATAACAAACTAACAGTACCATACGAGGCTTACCCAACAATAAATTAATAATATCAAATATAATATTACTGTAAAAATTTAAAAATGAGCATACCATGAACTAAGAGAGGCAGAGGAGAAGGAGAGAAATAAGAGAGGCAGAGAAGTTGACTTGCATGTAGATTAATAAACTTGGCCAAAGTTGATTTGCACGTAGATTAATAAAGTAAAAAATGTGTAGTTAAATTTGTGCAGAGAAATAACTTTAGCCACATATTCTTTACTTTAAATGGAAAAGGAAATTTGGCCATGTTTCATGGGATAGAGGAAGTATAAGCGGGGAAGGGCAGAAGTAAGAGGAGAAGTGATGGGAAAAAAACTTGCGAAGTTGCAGACGACCAGGCACGAAGTGCGAACAGGAGTAGAAGAGGCTGACTGGCGACGAAGAGAAGACAGCCGATTAGGCATACGCAGCAGGGTGTGATATTCACGTAATATTTACTAAAACTCCAATTGCTGCGCCTCATCGTGTTATTATTAAACTGAGACATTCAAATCATACGCCTTATGGCGTGCGCCTTGCACATAAAAGGCGCATGTGTTTGTGTTGCGTGAAACTAGTTACGCTTTGCATCGTAAAATCCTTGAAAATCTTGAGGCGCGCCTCAAGGTATCATGTATGATACGGGAAAAGGTTTATGCCCCTTGTTTTACTCTTATGTTGTTAATTGTTAATAAAATAATGGGTAGGTGTTCCGCAGCGCCTACCCATTTTGGTGGTTTGCGTATATACTACTCCCTCTATTGATTGTCTCATTTTACCTTTTTGGTCTGTTCCTCTAAGATTGTGTCATACCTTATTTGGTAAAGTTTGTGTGGTTCTAAATAATTTCTACTTTATTCTCACTTTATCAATTCAATATCAACCACATAAACCCACTTTTATTAATAACCGTGCCACCTTTTCTTGTACCAAATTTGGGGGGATGGAGGTAGTACTTCAATACTTCTTGTAAGTTTCAACCGTTTAACTTCCACCATTGACATACTCTACTTTTACGACATTTTATTTATTTACTAATGTTAAAAACTCATTATGAAAAATATTGTTAATTTCTCTCAATGTTAAATTTCATAATATGAATTTATTAATTTTACTAAGAGTTACTACGTCCGTCCCATTTTATGTGTCCTACTTTGGTTTGGCACAATTATTAATAAAATGGTTGAAAAGTGAAAGTTGTGGTTGAGACTAAATTTGAGTATAATAAGGTGAAATGTTGTAGACCACGTATTTCTTTCCTAAAAAGGAAAGTAGGACTGATAAAATGGAACGGAGGTACTAGTATATTAGTAGTCAAAAGACTCAAAATAATATGTTGTCAAACATGAAAGTCAAACTATTGCAACTAAATAAGAATACGGAAAGTATATACCATAGTATTTATGTATATAAATATGAACACAGACACATCTCAGTAGCTACAGTTGGTACAGTCTAATAAATATACACACGCACAGAAGTAGCTACAGTCGTATAAACATGCACACGCACAGAAGTAGCTACAGTCTTATAAACATGCACACGCACATAAGTAGGTACAGCCTTATCTATGCACAGATAGGTTACAAAGAATTGGACGGAAGGAGTGTTATGCGTAAAGCTGTAAATGGTTCACTAACAAAGGACAATTAATGAAGTTAGGGTCCAAAAATGTAAAGTTCTCCACATACCTTTATTACAATCCAGACTTTGAGAGAAGTACTCAATACTGCTAACTTTGTCTTTTTTCCTTCAGTTAAATAGTTACACATGTATTGATCAACCATGAGAATAAATCTGGGCCATGAATTGGGATCTTCAGGATCAGCTTTCTCATCCATCCTTGACTGATTAAGATGTCACAAAAAGAAGTTGAATGGGAAGAATAGAAGTTTGGCAAATAGAGAATTTTGCATAACATGATAACCTTCATGGTGAAATAGAAAAAAATGCATGGGCTTGAGTTCTTAGGATGTTTTTACTTGGACTGTAATTTGCTGGTCTGGTCTAGTCTGTTTAAGTCTGATTTGATCTAGTCTGTTTAAGTTTGATCTGGTCTGGTCTGAACTGGTCTGGTAAACGTCTAGTCCAAGGTAGTCAAAGTCGAGCGCTTCAGCGCTTAAGCGCACCAGGCGAAGCGCAATAGAGGTCCAGCGCTTGAAAGATGACCAGGCGCACCCTCCTGTCTCAGGCGCAGCTTAGGCGCATAAAGCGCAGAAGCGCCAAAGCGAGAAAAGCGCACGCTTTAGTCGCCTAGGCTGGAAAAGGTTTATCAGCCTTTTTTTTTGTTTGATCCTATTTTAAATAATAAGCCCATACTAATAATAAGATTTAGCCCGTCCAAATAATAGGTAAACACAACTTAAACCCATATTAAACCATACTTAGTCGTGGGAAAAGTCTTGCGCAACATGCACAGCGCTAAAACACATTCAACGAAGCCATAAGGTGTCTTCTTCTTCTTCATCTTCCCACGTTCTTTCTTCTTTTTCAGCTTGTAGTTTTCATTTATCTTGTCATCTTCTTTGTGATCCTTTCATTTTGTTCTTTCAGTCTATCTTCTTTCTTACTTTATGGTTCTTTTTGCTTCTACTATATGCTATACAACTCAAACATAATATATGTACCTGACCTACTAGTTTACATGTGAACAACATATTATTTCATCTTATTATACCAGTCTATAACTCTATCTTCCTAGTATCATTTCATATTTTAACTGTATAAAAACTTCATATAATCTAACTCAGTCAATAGTTTCATACACTATATGATTTATGTTATTCCTAGTGCTAAAATTGCAAAATCAACAAAGACAGACCCCACTCAGTGTTTTGTTTTTGTGAATCAAGACATTATTTTGGTGAATCATGGCTTTATTTTTTAGAAACATGACTTTTTGATGCATTTAGTTCAATATGGTGTTGAATATGTCATATTGGATCACTCTAGAATAGTATACATAATATTTTCTAAATAGTGCGCTTCACCCGAGTCAGGCGAGCGCTTTTTTCGCCTTGCGTCTCAGGCGATAGAAGTACTCTAGCGCCTTAAGTGCGCCTCGCGACTTTGACTACCTTGGTCTAGTCTCTGTGTATTTTATAACTACGGAAGTCAAGTCTGGTCTGATCTGGTCTGTTTAAGTCTGGTTTGGTCTGAGACCGAAAACAGTCCAAGTAAAAACATCCTTAACCATCAAAGCTCTAGAGAAACATTAGTGCTTCAGAACTAAATGAAGAAAATCAAGGACAATTTAAGTTATAACAGGTTATAATTTATAAATGTAATTTGTTGACATTGTTGTGCATCTCATATTGTTATCTACTGGGTTTCAGTGTAGTATATGACGGAGTAGTATATACTATATAATGTTACTGGGTTTCAGTGTAGTATAGTAGTATATACGTAGTACTTCCTCCGTCCCAAAATGATGGTCTTGTAATTCCTTTTTGGGATGTCCCAAAATGATGGTTTTGTTTCCCTTTTTGGTAAAGAATTAAAAGTGGATTACCATTGATACTCCTCCTTTTTAATGAACAGTAAAAGTAAAAGGATGAACAGTACAATAAAGTAAGGTTCTTTAGTCTTTCTACCACACTTTCTTAATGTTTGTGCCCAAAAGAAACAAGACCATCAAATTGGGACGGAGGGAGTACTATATAATGTTGTCATCGCAGATTGTGGCCTTGTGGGCTACCTGTCCACTGATGTTTTGAGGGTCAGCTTGGGTCCATTTGTGCATCCCTTCAATTGTCTACTTCAATTGAGGGAGATATGTTGAATATCCCACGTCAACGGTCTAATGGATTTGATTCTAATGAGTTTAAGATAAATATTATCCCTTCAGGTTCCTTTTGGGAAGAGTTAGACCCAATTTAACTGAATTTTTACAGTAATACAGTATTAAACAAAAAATTACCATCAAACGAGAAATTTCCCGCTCAATCTTGGAAAAGGCAGTCTCTAAAGCTTCCACCCTCCCAGTGCCATAACAACATGTGCATTGCTGACTGATCATAAATGTCACACTTGGTCGAACCTGTAAAAGCACATGATGTGACATTAGCATATCTGGTTTTTGTATAAGGGTAAACACGTCACAAAGTATGACAGGTAAAACTTTGCTGGGATAAGTGGAAATTAAAATGTCGGATAGAACAATCCAAAAATCACATACTCTTTTCCTAGTGATTTCCATTAGTCCATGCCTGGATAACTCAGAGAGACTGACAGTTGATCTATCTCTCCCAACAGCCTTCTTTACTTCTTCATAGACCAATCTCTTATTTGCTAAAACAAATGAAGAGTTAAAACAACACATAATCATTTACAGTATAAATACTCATATACCTCCACCTACTTCCCTACCACCCAAAATAAAGTCTTATTTCAAAAGTTTCGTGTCCAAAAAAAGTACAATTTCATCAGACGAAGCAAAGTTTTACTTAGTTTGGCAAAAAAGGTTATCGAGTAAAAAAAAGATAAATTTAGTCAAAGAAACAAAATAATAATGGAAGTTCATGACTTTTATGGTCATATGACTCATACTTTGCCCAAATTAAAATTTGTACCATGACCAAACAATGATTCTTTTTTTTCCTGGAACTAGGGGAATAGCTATAAAAGTAGAACACGACAGCTTAAATAGCTACACTAATTCAGAGTAATATACTTACAGTCATCCATCATATCTATGAAATCCACAACAATAAGACCACCAATATCTCTCAGTCTCAATTCTCTAGCAATCTGGAGATTCATGAATCACTTAAGTATTACTGTATTAATTTGTTCTCAAATCAGAGTTGCAATAATTGATGGATTTTAACTCATTTTCATACTTGTCTGGCAGCTGCAAGGTTCACTTCAAGAATAGCTTTCTCTTGTGATGTTCCCTGCCTAAGCATAGAATGACCACCATTGACATCAATAGAGAATAATGCCTCTGTTTGTTCTATCACCAGATAACCTCCATTGGAAAGGGAAACCCTGCAAAACTTATTATTACAATTAGGGGCTCTAACATATACGTACTTACGTAGTATTTGCTAATATGCCAAGTTGCCAAACAAGTCACTTGGAAAAACTTGTCTGGGAAATCACTGTGACCTTTTAGTTCAGACAGTGAAATGCATATAATACTTCTTACATATATTTAACTAAAGAATATTAAAGTAAGGCCAATTTTAACAATCTCTACTTCGCTTGAATCAGCAACATAATGTTGAGTTATTGTAGTATTTCTATTTATAACAGTTTTTTATCATATTGAATCTCGATTTTTGCAGTTTCATACTACCTCCGGCCCATTAACATTGGAACATGAGGAGGTGGCACGGTTATTAAGAAAAGTGGGTTTACGTGGTTGATATTAAATTGATCAAGTAAGAATAAACTAAGAATGATTTAAAGCCACACAAACTTTACCAAATTTGGTATCAGACAATCTTAGTGGGATTTCACGCAAAGGAAAAATGGGACAATCTTAGCTGGACGGAGGGAATATAACTTTTTAGTGAAATTTGAAATATGTAAAATTAATTACTAGTACTAGATTAAATAATAATTCGTGCTGAAAATTGAATAGTGATTAAATTCAGTCAAACCTCAGACCTCACAATTTGAAAATCCTTAATAACTTTAGAAAGATGGAGTATTAAGTATTAACTAAGTGGAGATTTATAATGAGAGTGTAATTCCAATAACACATAGATAGTTCTTATGGCGACAATTCTAAATGTCACACTAGTGTGTATATGTAGATAGGTACAACATGATAACATATGTGTGGGCACATCTCTCACCTTTTGCTAAGAATGCTATCTATTTCTCCCTCAATCTTGTATTCATCAAAGAGTGGAGCTTTATTGCTGTATAACTCAACTCTATCAGATAGATTAGGAGCTATTTCTTGTAGATAGTTTTTAACCTGAAAACAACATGACAGAGTCAATGTATATTCTGGCCATATACTTGAATTAGATAAGTTCATAAGTTAACTACTTGATGAAATCTCATAGACTTAGAGGCATGCTAAAAGCCTTAAATTCCTAACATTAACTAGCTATTGACTGGATTATCAAAGTGCTACAGTTTTTAACCAGTCGGACTTTCAAATGGTGTGTGTGTGTGTATGTGTGTGTGTTCTCTTATTTAGTCATATTTCCTCCCCAAACGAGATGAGGCAAAAAAAGAGTGAAGGGCAACTCATATACAAACTCAAATTCAGTGTTATTTCATTATTTATTACCAAGTATCTCTTTTAGCATGTATTAGGAAGGAGAGAAATAGGATGGCAAAGGAGAGAAGCAAAAAAAAAAAGAAGGGAATGCAGAGATTCCAATGAATTTATGGTTTATGAAATTCAGAGCAAATAAATGTGAATTATAAGTGTATGGCCTGATGGCCTCAAATGGGGTGAAAGGAGAAATGCACTTCTTAGTGCAAAGTGCAAATTGATTATTTTTCTCTTTTATTTCTTTTCTCGACTAACTTCATCCACACTATCTTTTATTTCTTTTCTAGCCTAACTACTTCTCTATCAAACATAGCCTTGGGCTTTTAGCATATGATAATGTAGCTCAAATGCTCTCTGCATCATTTTTAATCTATAAGAAATTTAAACACACAAGCTAAATAAAAAGTGTTTCATAATTAAATGCTACCTCATGATATGTCCTTGGAGAATCAACCACCATACTCTTAACCTGAAGAGTTTTGGCCACCATAAAAATTGAAATCAAGTGACTTGTGAAAACGGTAATAGAAACTTACATGTGATGTCTTTAATTAAAAACAACAAAAGCTAGGAGTGAATGCATGAAAATATCACACCTTGTCATTAAAATAATCTTGGACAATGGAGAGTGTTTGACCCATAGCCCGATGAAGCATAATAGGAACTGCTCCATCTACTCCTTCATCTGCAGCCAGAGCAGCACTCTTCGCATGCTCCATTATAACTTTCCAAGTTGAAACCAAACCTTCCAAATCTTTCTTCAATTCCTCCAACGAATGACCAGCAGCAACAGTTCTTACAGTAACACCAAAACCTGGTGGCTGTAAGGTTTTTGCTATTACTTTCAGGCGAGTGCGCTCAGCACCAAATATCTTCCTTGAGATCCCTATTGTGTTGCCGCTAGCTTTTAAAACCTGAGGTCATAATGATAAATATTTAGGTACACATATATTATTAGATTTGTTGCCCTTAACTCAAAGTGGAGGATTTTTCTTCCTATGTTAGCTATTGAATATAACCTTAAGGGTCCAAATCAGGACTCTAGCACGGCCGAGAACTGCCGCTGGCGGCTGGACATCCCGAAGCATGAGGTTTACAAAAGCACACATCTACGGGTGGCCCCAGTATCAAACATGGGCTCTGATACAATATTAGATTCAGTGATCCTAACGCCAGAAAAGGCACAACTAGGAGTGAAGGATTGCCCTCCGCATTAGAGCTAGTGAAGATACCTATGAGTGTCCAGTGTGGGACTAACTAATATTTGCAGCCATTAGACATATACAAAATAAGAAATTATGAATACATGAATTCCGTACCCAAAATCGGCTTCGCAGTTTTGGATAAGCAGTTACTGTGGGGCCCTTTCTACCTAGTCCTTCCTTAACAACTTGTACAATTATTTTTGTACCTTTCCGAACTTGCCCCCACTTACTTTTTTTATTATATTCATGATGAGGGACAATTTTTTTGAACGGGTGTCTATGGAAATGAGTTTCACCATCATGGCCAACATTTCCTTCAATGTCTACAGAACTATGAACCTTATCATGATTTCCTTGCTCCTCAAAATCATGTTCTGAATATTCACCAGAATCATCATCTTCTGTGTCATCCTCCTCTATAACTTCATCTGAAGTAGCTTCAGTTTCAAGATGATCTGAATTTTCGACAGACTCAATGGCAATGGTTTGTCTATCATGTGAAAAAGGAGGAAATATGAACGGCTCCTTCCGGGACTTGATGTTCATAAATGCTGTTTGGTTGCTGCCAATATTTACAAACGTGCCACACATCTGGGGGGCTAATTGGGTAACAACACCAAGATATACACTATCACAGTGCACCTTGTTTTTTACAGGCTCTAACAACAACTCTACTAAACTCCCATTTTCTAAAATAGCAATCCTTTGCATTGTGCAAACAGAAGAGTTTATTAATATAACCGTCGTAACTGAATCTTCCTTAGTAATTAAATCACTTTCAGAAGACAATGGCTTCTCGAATTCTGGACAATGCTCATTGTGTGTTGTATGGTGAGATTCAATGCTTCTAGCGTGTTGTTCACAAGTAGGCATATCAGGTGCCAAATGGGCATTAGAAATGGAAAAATTGATCACCCATTCAGCCAGCCAGGGCTCCTCAATAGGAAAACCTGATTTGTAAGAGGTCACTGGAGAGTCACCAGTAGCACCAGAAGCATCTGAAGCATCTGATTCTGAAGCTTGATGGGAAACCAATGATTGCTGCAATAACCACGGCTCCTCAACAATTCCGTTCCTTACTTTTCTACAATGTGAGCTAATATCAGTTTCTTCAAGCAAAAAATCACCTGATACAAAATATGATTCCTCCTGAGAAAACTTTTCCTGGATGAGGTCTTTTGGAATGTGCTCCACAACGTTTGAACTGTTTTTGAAACACTTCACAAGCTTGTATTCATCTGTCAATTTACTGGAAGCAATTTAGTGAAGAAATAGTTAACAATTGGGAAGACACGAAAATGGACAGCAAGAGAAGCACATACCTTTAGATGGAAGTGGAATGAAGAGATGTACAGGACCGCATCTCCCCATCATCCAGGACTTGAAAATACCACAGCAAGGCATTTTTGAGTATCCACACCGGGCATTTCTTCTCAGAGATCTACCTTGTTGTTTAAGAGGAAAATGGCCTAATACGGAGAATTCAAGTCCAGATTTGCATAAGGTATCACTAGATGTCAACATGTCTCCCTTCATAACAGGGTTACACCTAAAAGTTTCAGCATTGAGGAACGACTAACTGCTAAAAGACAAGGGAGCGATTGTCTCAAGTCCCATAAAAAAAGAACTTGCCAATGTAAAACGGCACAATGAAATACTCCTAGTAGAATTAGAATTCTACTTAAACCTGATCAATAAGGAGATGTGAAGCAAAAAACTGGTGAGAAATCGCGCTAACTACAGGGCACTAAAACAGCGTCCGCGTATGGTTGACTGGAAAAGAGGTAAAGTCACAGCGCAAGGCCGCCTGCAGACGATGTAATGGCAGAGCCTTTGGGTGGTGTTAAACAAAGGTGAGGACTGAGTGATAAGTGAGTGAGTTTGTTTTTTTGGCGAACCAATCTTCAATACTACCTGCGAATGATTCTACCAAGAAGCTAAGGTTTAAGAAGTTCCGAAATGTCTAAACGATGCACTTCCAATTAAGGAGTGTTTGGAACTCATTCTGTTTCTGCTTCTTTTTTAAAACAGAAGCAGAATCAGAATCAGTTTTCAGAAGCTGGTACCCCCATTTTCTATAAAAACTGATTCTGGGAGTAAATTACAGCATCAGAAGTACTTCTGAAATTTCACCCAAACACTCCAACTTCTGCTCCCTGAAGGAGCAGAATCAGTTTTGAGAATCAGATCCAAACACCCCCTAATTTTATCTTTTTTTAAAACATCGACACGATGCTGAAAATAAATATGGATTGAAAAAAGTTTTTTCATTATGACAAACCATATTTCGTTCCATTTAATACTCCGTATGATATACGGATTATTGTTTTTAGAGTTTTGCTAGAAGTACCTCATTTGGTTTATACCTCTTTTTATACTGCTAGAAGTCCACAAAAACCCAACACATTTTATTGAAGTGTCTTTGTGAACCACAAATATAGCAGGGTACAAAATGGGATAGCAATAGCATTTGTGTTGCTTTTAAAATGGTATCTAGGGTTGGTGTGTTCTTCATTAATAGAGCTGATAAAGTGATTGGATTTTGTGCACAATTTTTCAGAAATTTTAACATTGATAGATGACGATTATGGGGTCCTAGGCACTTGCACCCCACCAGAACCACGACCAAATTTTGAGAGAAAATTGGTGTTCGAATGCATCTCTTTTACGGTGGTTGGTCAAACTCATGATTCAAGAAAACTTTGCCTACTAGACTAGTAGTACGTCAAACTCATGTATCGACATGAAGAACACTTCGAGCTTTTGATCAAGGGGATGAAGGATTGATCTTTTTTTGCTACAATGTTTTGCTAGATCTGGATTATTTTGATTTTGTCATATTGCTTTTGTTGAATCGAACTGTAGTTGGTTTGGTAAAATTGTTTAGTTCAGTTTTTAGGCTGCCTTCAGATTTACAACAAGGAGACCATATCGGTCATGATTGGCTTAAGACTTATCGACAAGTAGTTAACTAGTCATTTTTCTCCTGACGGGGCGATCGCTCTTTGTCTGATCATGGGGTTGTCTCTAGGGGCGGGCAAGAATCCTGGTCCCGTTGCCCCATTCCGGTATATCCCGAAACCGTACCGGTGTTGTCCCGTTCCGTTTGGGTCTCATTGATTTTGTCCCGCACCGGTCCCGTACCGGTTTAAAACGGGGCGGGACCGGGACATTGGAGAAAGTGGACTATCAAGAAATACTTGTTGAATTTGCTTCGAAGAATGCTCGGAGAATGGCTCTTTTAAATTAAATGTGCTTAAATTTGAACCCATTAGTTTATTTGGATGCTTCATTTTACTCAATGTGCTGAATGATTTTGGTATGCTTGTAGCAAGTTTGAATCTAAACAATTCATATGCACCATAGATCTGTGCATTTTATCTAATAAAAGGCCTCATTTGTGTGATTCGCACCGGGCCTCTCTTTATGTCCCCAGCCGGCCCTGGGCAGAAGGCTATTGACGAGGGAGATGAAGGCTTGATATTCCATCTTGTTGACGAGGAGGGAAGTAGTGACACTACATCTCTTAATTTATCATTGGTAATCATGCTCTTCAATCGGTCAATTGCACCTTTAGTCCACCCCTCTTGCTGAACCATTACCACAAGGTGGAGGGGTGGAAGTAGGTTAGAAATTTGTAATAACAAGAGTAAATGTTGTTGATGTTCAGACCTACGTATGAGACAAATCCGTAGCTCAAGATAAATCAGGCGAAAACACGGCACGACTAGACATTGATGGCTAGGTGGTTCAATATTTTGTTTTATTTTTTGCTTTTTGTTTTTGCATGCGTTAGAGGGCGGTAGATTTTACCTTATTTCATATTGGTTTGAAATGTTTGTTGCAACGAGTATTTATCAAAACTAGATTCTCACCCGTGCGATGCACGGAATAAAATTTAGTCAAATGATATCATATTATTCATTTATAATAATTATACCATAAAAATTTCATTGAGTTATATTTTGTAAATGATTGAAAACAGAATAGAGTTAGTATACTTTAAATAAGTTAATTAAGAGGAGTTGGTGTTTACATTATTCTCAAAATAGGAAAAATCATACTTCATCTATCAATAAAAAGTAACAGCGACAATTAAGGGACAGAGAGAGGAAATATTATAATGAGCGAGCAAACTACAACTTTTGAAAGACTCCTTTTGTAAACAACATTAGTAATTTGTTTATCATTCTTATCACTTCCAATATAAAAATTCATCATGAAAAGAGAATAGATTTAATATACTTAAAAAATTAATTAGGAAGAGGTGGAATTAATGTTTACATTGCTCTTGTAATAGAAAAAATTATAAATATAATAATGAGCGAGCAAGTTACACTTTTTGAAACTTTTTTTGTAAACATTTGTAATTTGTTCATCATTCTCATCACCAAACAACATTTTCAAGCATTTACTATTTCTACCACTTGACACTGCAATGTAAAACTGACCATGCCTAAAGTTAGGGGTGGCCCGGTTCCGGTCTGACTGGCCCGGGAACAGGACAGCACCGCCACTGTGCAGGACTGGACCTGCCCAGTGAACCGGTTCCGGGCCTAGGACCAGGCTGGGGTTTTTTGGGAGCGGTTTCGGGATCAGGGAAATAGGGCCCGATCCGGTCGGTCCGAGTCCAGTCCGGGCCTTTTTATTTTTATTTTTATTTTTTTTGGGTTTGGGCCTATGGTAGGTGGGCTGAGTTGGGTGTTTTGGCGGGGGTTGGGGGTGGGGTGTGGAATAAATAAGAAAAGCTTAAAAAAATTAAAAGAACCGGCCCGGTACCGGTAGATTCCCGGGCCGGTGCCGGGCTTCACCCCAGAAAAACCAAGCCCGTAGGCCCGGAACGGGACCCTATGACCCTACCTAAAGTCAGGCTTTAGCAAAGTCCAACATGTGATAAAATTTAGACTTCTGTAATGAGTTAATATTTTCATGTAGGATGAACTTATTCTAATTTCAAAAACTCCCACCGCATGATAAAAAAAACTCCCACCATAATATTCCCAGACAGAGATTTGGAACCCAAACACCTCGAATAAGTTACATTCTTTCGCTACTTTAGTGAAACCCAAAATCATCAATGTAATTTGCACTTTGTTTAATTACCTAAAAGATGATAAAATGCTCATTTTAGCCCACTATATGATCGAGATACTTCAAAATTTGTTGATATGCTTATGAAATGATATCCTCTTATGTTTAAAAAACACGGACAGGAGTCAGGAGAGTGTAACTTTAACCTCAAGTACTTATTATTTATATATCAATTCACCTTATACATCAATTCACCTCATAAAAAACTTTCACCTCATTTAATTTCCCACCTTTAGCCACCTGCTATTGTTTATACCTAAATGTTTAAACAATATATTTAAAAAAACTTGTTTACTTCAACAAAATCTAGTGATAGCAAAAACAAACACAACAAACAATCTTATAATAGAGCAAAGCCATCATTCAAACAAATGCTAAGAAATCTTATAAACTGCTATATGACTATACCTACATGTTTTACATACACATTGAAAAGATCTCTTCTACTTTAACAAAAGCGAGTGATAGCTGAAAATAAATTATAGAACCACCTTAACCTCTATACCCCAAGATTTCAACAATTAGACAAACAAATACGGAGTACTAATTTTTCAATATGAAACCAACGGTGTCAAAGAAATTTGCTGAAGAAGCTGCTACTTCATTCTGGACCAACTCCATTGTGGCATCAAACTGGTCCACAACACTAATAAAATAGGTTACCAAGAGTATTCGTTCTGGATTGCATATTTACTTGAATCAATCCAAACAAAATTTATCTGAAAAAACTTTAAAATTAATTTTTTTTGAGTAAAAATCAAAACTGGATGTGTGAAATAATATGTCCAAAACATAATATAATTGGAAAACCTCTAAGTTACATTTCACATCGTCAAACCTGTAATCTCGCTGAAACAATTAAAAGCATTAACTCAGCTCTTCATGGACATTATTACAAATATATAGGTATCAAACATATCAGCATTGAGTTTGAAGATGAGATTAACCTATACCTAAAGATGATTTTTTAAACACTGAGTATATACTAAATAAAACTACAGTTATGCCTAGTACCAAGTATATTCTAGGCTTCTAGCCGTACCTTGACACCAAAATTGGGGGGAAAAACTTTATCCGTCTTCTTCTTCTTCTTCCTTTCGCAAGCCGCAAAACCAGAGCCTAGAGACGTAAAGGTTGCCAGTCCTCCACCCGCCTCGCAGGCTGCCTGGACTCACCTTGCCGGTTTCCCCTTCGCGGCTCCGCCGCATTAAGTTTGGCGTCATCACTCCGCTGGCCACCGTCACTGAAAAGGAAAGCTCCAGGTCCGCCGTCCCCGTCCGCAAGATCGGAAAATTTGTTACAGAGGCACTTGGTCGGCTGGTCGCGAGCAGTCTCAATCGGGCACTGCTGTCACCACCGTCTATGGTCCTTCCTGATTTAGCTACTGTGGCTGCTGGTAGAGATGAATCCCCTGATGCTCTGCCCCTCCTAGCCAAATCGATGACATCCTCTTAAGCTGTGTGGGTATACGCAGTATAGTTTTGATTTTTTCTGTATGGAAAACCAAGTGATCGGTCAACAGGGGTGACTCTGAGATAATGACAACTCTCTGACAAATTGTTGGTCATGGTAATACTCCGTACTAAGGGAGTGTTTGCAACTGCTTCTGCTTAAAAAAAGCACTTTTGGAGATGTAAGGAAAAAATGATTAGTAGTAAAAGTTGATAGTGTTTGAGAAAAAAGTGATTTTGAAAAGTAAAAGTTGGTAGTGTTTGGTAAAATAAGTGCTTTTTGTGTAATAGAAAAGGGAAAAGCATTTTTCACACGCAAGCCGAGAAAAAGTAAAAATTGGTAGTGTTTGGTAAATAAGTGTTTTTTAAGCCAAAAGCTGAGAAGTGCTTTTTTTAAGCGGTTGCAAACACTC